ACATGGAATAAAATGCAAATCAAATAAGCATATATGAACATATACTGAACTGTCCACCGGCATCCCACGCTGTGAAGGAAATAATTTTGTATTGTTTCAACATTAAATACATTTAAATACCCTAAAAAAATCAATCAAATTCACAAACAAAAACAATGCAATTTGATGTAACTCGACTGCATTGGGGCAGATATGAATCCTATATGTTTCGTTCGTTATTCGCTAATTATAATGAATGATAATGGCATTATCATACAACAAATAATACTTAAATAATAAATAACATAAAACAAACACTATAATTATGATACATAATTACATAATTATACTTTTTTGCCAGGGGCTCCAGAGGTTTTGCCCTACACTTCGCCATATTTTTATATAATATATTGTAATATCATAATTAATTATCGATCATATGTGGTGCGGATCGAGAGTATTCACTGCCAACGAAGCAAACCAATGAAAAGCAAAAAAACAATGGGGACCGGGATCAGTCATTATGGGCTCATCGAAATTGGCTGGAGCATGTCATATTGTTTCAATAAGCGTGCGCACTGAGAGCACTCGCGTGTGTAATCAAGTCAAGATTATTTGCAGCGGCTCCACATTCGATTGGATAATAAGGACCAAACAGGCTGTATAATGCCGGAATGATGCCAGAATGGATGCATTTGTTGGAGACGCATCACCTGTAAGTTCGCAACTTTTGCTGATATCTAAGCGGTACCAAATGCTCGCGGGCCTTACCTTAATCCGTAATCCCGGAATCCGTCTCAGAAGCCCCAAAGAGTCGAATCCGTAATCCGAGACCTAATCCGTAATCCGGTCTAAAGCATAGATAGGACGGCTGCCTCCCTTTCCCTGTCCCTTTCCTTGTCCCCGGAACCCAGCAAAGCCGAGCAGCAGGCCAGCCACCAAAGCAACCAGCAGCCCAGGAACCAGAACCCAGGAACCAGAACCAAGCAGCCAGCAGAGCACCCAGCAGCAGCCCAGCAGCAACCCAGCAGGAGCAAAAGCCGCAGCAGGAGCAGCCAACCAGCACCGTCAGCGCCACAGTGCTTACATCTTTCTTCTCCGCCCCCGGGGGGCCACGATTAGCAATTGGCAGCCCGGCGCTGTACTAGAAGTACCGGGCCCCGTAGTCTAGTAGTTAATACGTCGGCATCATGCATCGTAGCTGGGCAGTGTAGTGGCGAAGGGCAGAGGTTCGAATCCTGCCGGGTCCGTCCTGCAAGGCGGTGGTGCGACCAAAGTGTTGCGTTTCCAGCGGTGCTTGGCCAGAGCTTTGTGTTACCAATGTGCTTTGCTCTTTGCGCTTCCTTCCTCCGCTCCCTTTGTTTGGGGCTGGCGGTTTTTAGTTCTGTAAGGGAAACTTCCGCCACCGCGGGCTAATCCGTAAACCGGGTAATCATTAAGGATTAACTTGGATCAGGCTAGGATATGTTCAATCAACAGCAACAAATATATCAAACATGATCCATCATAGAAACTGTTCCACGCGCCGTTGTTGATCAAAGCATATAACATCCATTGGTGTCCCAACAAACTGCAATGATTTAAGTAAGTGAGTGGATATTCGTCTATAATCATCGCTGCGTTCGACACATCTTGGAGCTTGCTCCACACATTCAACGCTCTTTGCACTGGATTCACGTTTGGGCTCTGTAAATAGTTGTGAATATGTGAATCAGTGTCATCAAAGCTGCTCTGCTTTTCTTTTGTGCCAAGAGGTGCTGATGCAAGTGCTTGAAAGTGGCATTGGTGGTAAATGTCTGGCCTGGCAGGAACCCCAACTTTTCTACAATTGATCATCGCCGACAGTGCAAGCTTTGGATCCCATCGCAGGGCAGGAGTCGGTTCCTACCCCCTGCAAACAGGATTTTGCGAACTACTTTTTCGATGCGGGCCAGTCGCGTTGCACGTATAAACTTGGCCTGAAAAGAAACACATGCACAAGAACCAACGAAGAGGCCCATCCATATCACAACTTACCTCTAGTAACTTTAGTATTGACATGACATGTAGTTAACAATGTAAACACCACCCCCAAAACCGCTGCTAGAACGCATTGTGCTGGACCCAAACATTTTGTGCATTTCAGGGGACCCAAACCAGACAAGGAGGAAACAAGTAGTAATTAGTAGAGCAAGGATTGTTTAAGCATCCAGTCGTGTGGGTGAATTCCAACTTTGAACTCCTGTTGTTGGTCCATGTGCTCAATGGTTCTGACTCTGCACTCCGTCCTCTTCTCCGTCTTCCGACTCCTCTGCCTGTGGTCTCATGCACGGCGGCAGAACAAGTCAAGCAGTTTCCACAATTCTCAAACTTAGACGTAGCCAATGTTGCCATTCAGAATGAGAAACTCCCAATTGTGGCAATTTCCGTCAATCCTGCTACCACCTCATCAATTCAGAGGTACAAAGCATGGATTTGATCCATCTTCTGTCAAAAAATTGACAACAAGTACCACGCTTTGAATCCCGAGTTAGTTGCCAAATAAAGCCAACTCAGGCATCCGTTTTGGCCTCATCTTCGGGCTCCTCTCTCTCACCTCATGACACGGCCACATAGCCGTGTCAATGCGGTGCATGGCATCCACTTGCAAACTAACCAACATCACTGCACCCAGCAAGCCGCTACATATAATACATCATACATGATTTAATAATACCACATTTCTGATTATTTTGGAAAATATATGCTTATGTTGTGCATCCTTTCGCTTTGCTCGCAGTGATGCACCATCATTACACAATCTTTGTAAAACACAAAGGACACGACTGCAAGTCATGGGTGCTCATTTTCTGTCTGCGTGAAGTGAGAGCTACGCTGATTAGCTGATCGTCAACATACAAACGCTCGCTTCAACCACGTGACAACCATCTTCTTATTGTTGTATGATGTTGCACGTGGTTGCTGTACTGTCAGAAGGGCAAGTTGAGGCCCTGGCCAACTTCGCTGCGGGAGCGGAGAACTGGCCTCAATAACGAGCATTAACGCATCAACAAGCAGGGCTGCGTTGCTTCAGCTGAGGCTGATCGTGAACATCAAAGACATTCTCTGTTTCGGTAACAGATCTGTTTTCAGACTCATTGAATATCATTGAATCAGACTCAGATCAGTCAGATCACTGTTATTTCCTCAGAACGGCGACTATGGCGACGTAAAAAACCCTGGGTGTTTTGGGTGTCCAGCTGACTCCGCGAAGTCTGACCTGCTGGCGAATCTCTCGGGATCCTCTTGGAGCACTGGTGTCAAGTGCTAGCACCACATCACATGCATCCTCGCAATCATCACATGTTCTATTGATGATCACTACCATACATTACCACACCATAGCACAACCATCACATCATCACAACTAGCACAGCCATCACTATTATCAGTGATCAGCATCAACCGTCACAGAGATGACGATGACGACGATGACAATGATGATGATGACAAGGAAGAGGAAGAGGAAGGCGATGAAGATGATGAAGATGAAGAAGAAAATGATGATGAGTCTGCCGATCAGGACAATTGTCATCATGGATGTGCAAAAAGGATTGATTCTGAATGATTCTAGCTTTGCTCCATTTACTCTAGGACACAAGGAAAACATTGAGCCCGCGGACTTTCTGAAGAAGCCTGCCACGCTGCAAGCTTCATCGAACACAACACCACCTTTTCCAGAGATGTGACCACCAGTAGAGACCAGCACACAAACGGAACCTAATTGTCATTGACCTTCAGTCGAAAGGCTGAGAGTCGGCGACGTAAGTGAGCATCTATCTTTCATTATCTTTCAACATCTTTCAACATAATTAATTTCAACTGCGCACCCTGGGCCTTTTCCTTCTTGTTTCGCGGGCGTAGCACCGCCTCGAGCCCAGGTTTGATGCTCGTAGCACAGCTGGTAGACTTGGGATGACTTGGGTCAAATGGATCCGATTGGGGAACCAGTCCCCTGTTTTCCCTTTTTTCCCCTTGATTCTTGATCGTTGCCTTGCTGTGCTTTCCCATCACCTGCTCCAAAGGCTCAAGCCATCTGGAAAATATTCTCCGACAGTTGCGCTGATTGCTGGAGATTGTCTTGAGAATGTCTTGAGTATCAAAAGGTCAATCGAGAAAGAAGTGGGTGTTGACCTTGTGTATCTTGTTCCTGTAACTTGTGACATTGTTTCAAGAAAGGGTAAGTATTTCGTGTATGATTGTGTGTGATTGTGTATGCACGCATTTTTTTAAACAAAATCACGACCTGGCCAGTTGGGCTTTCAATTTTGAGGCTCTTAATGTTCCCTGCAGCTACGGCCGCGAAAGCCAAACGACCGGCAGGTGATTAAACAATCAAATCCACCAAGATGACAAATTGAGATATACAATATGAATTACATTGAATTTTCAAGATATATGAAGTGCACACTATATAAGATTATCATAAGATTTGGGAGTCTCATGTTATTCGCCTGCGGAACCGTTGCAAATTCAGTCAGCAAGGTTCATCAACTGGACAGAACGTTGAGTATGTTGAGTTTCCAATTCAGTAGCAGCAGCAAACCACTTGTCTTCGGATTCCCTTGGTCTGCAAAAATCTGAGGTGCACATGGAGAGGCATTTCTTGTATGTTCCCAGGTTGGCCCCCGAAATTCCGATGGGGCCCACCTTTCAATCCTTTTGAATTGTGGCCATCCCTGTGTCAGTATCTCCTTTTCATCGCAGCTTATTGCCCTGTCCACATGGCCCATACTTAGTGGCGTCTCTTTGGTCTAAGCACGTATGTCCTACCTGTCCACCTTGATCTATAGCTGTGAGAGCATCAACCATGGAGATTCTGGTGAGTGATTTCAACATCTTTCAGCCTACCATTCCCCAGAGACGCGGGTTTCATAATCCTACAAAGCGCCAAACAAATACAAGATGATACAAGTACCATCAAGTAACCGGCTTCTTTCAGGTGCTTTGGTTGTAAGCTCTCATGGTTTCGTCTAGCTACCATTAGGTACCGACATAAGAGCTCAGGCTGCTTCATCCTTCATGGCAGCACCAGCGCTGCGTGGAACCCAGTAGGGCCTGTGAAGAGCGGTGGCGTGGGCCATTGGCATAGCTTTGAGCAAACTCGGCATACACAAATTCTTGGTTCAGCTAATCGCGCTCTGCCATAGCGAAATTCAATGTGACTTACACACATTCATGGATTTGCACCAAGTGCCGGGTTTCAATCACTTGTACTTCTTCCATCTTCTTCCTCCAAACCAGCGAAGAACTGAAGATGCAACCTTTCCAATTAAACACTGTTGCACAGATTCTTGCAGGCATCAAGTCTGCCAAAAGATGTTAATTATTATAGTCCTGGAAGCACAAACGCCCAGCATCACCACCCTTCCGAACACACGTCCGGAGCACCCCTGCTGTGCAAACTGCGTCATCATATCCATCACCTGCGGAGGCGATGGAAAGCCACTGCGATCATCCGATCACAACTGCAGTATTCGACTACCATCTGGTTTTACAATCATATAAAAAAATATGATAATATATGAGTCAGCTCACAAATAATCTGTATAGTATTCTGAACGCTTAGTGTTGCTTTCATTATCTTTCATTATGCATTTCTTCAGCTGCCTAGTCCAAACATGTCTCTGCTGCGTTGTAAGGCACATTGGCAATATGGAAGTGTGGGTCAATATGGGTCTGGGTCTGGGTCAGGGTCTGGGTCAATAGTCCGAGACAAAGGTAGCATGATATGCCTATGATAATTGCGATATACCCACCTCTGAGTCCAACAGTCCACTGATCCAATGGGAATGGCAATCCACCAGCGTCTTCACCTCGGTTCCACAAGTTGATGATGCAAATGGGATTTCACATGACTTCCCACGTCTTCCCATATTGATTGGGAATGATTGGGAATGATTCTAAGATATCCATAGATATCCTACTAAATTATCTACTAACAATGGTGATTTGCTCCACTTTTCAGCCATGTTTAGCCATCGCCAGAACATCCCATGGCATCCCATGGCCATTCCATGTCGTGTCTAAGCTCTGGGCCAAGGTGTGTTTTGCATAGCGGGCATCGGTACTTGCCTGCGACGGGCTATCGCGCTGCCATGGCTGTAGTCCACTCATGTCCACCCCAACCCCTTCCGAATCCAGAAAATATTCACAAAAACAGATGCTGCAACAGCCTTTTTGTACCCATGTCTGGCGGATCCCTCGAACCCAGTGGCAATAGATATTGAAAATTGATGTGGAATGGCCATATTTCAAGGATACAACAAATCTTGGCCACTTCCACCAGCCTCGGACTGAAAATTCAGCCTAGGATAGCATGGGGGGTTCATGGCCAGCATTTCACAATAGAACGGGGAACAGTCAATGGCCATTTCAGGAACCTAAATTGGAGGTACTGTACCATATAAGGCCATATTTTCTGGGGATATTCCCTTACATAGGCCTTACATAGGCCTTATATATGGTAGGTACCTCGGTACCTCCATTTTAGGATCCTGACATTCCCATTGAAACAGGCATGAACAGGCAGAACTCATGGAAAAGTATGAGTACTTGCTTTTGCTTAAAGCGCTGGGGGGAGAAAAAACATGACAGATCATGACAGCTTTCGGGACCATGAACCTATATGCACCATAGACATACGGGTCAACCCAATGTTGTATTGGATATACCATCATCCACATGTTTTCACATAAAAAAAATGGATCTTGGGATCATGTTGCACCAGTGGTGGTGATAGGGCACCGGTACATGGGAGTTCTGCGCCCGAAACATGCACCCCCTGTTTCCATACATATATGCGTCGTTTGAGATAAAGCTCCTCAACTTAGATTGGATGCACCTGGATCTGCTTCCTGAAGCGTGAATTTCGGAAATTGGGCGGTACGAGGCCTTCAAAACGCCATGAATCTTGTCCCCGGGGAGGGAGAGAGAGAGAGAGAGATGTAATTATATATATATATATTATACACATTGACATGCCAGTTTCCCATATTCAATCAGATCAAATCACATTTTTTGATCATTTTGGGGGTATCGTGGGATCATGGGGTATCCTCTATTTTCAGTCACCCAGGTACGCCTCACCGAGCCACAGAAGCTCTCGCAGCTCTGAGGATTGCAGTGCCTTTTGGGCAGCCTTTTGTGACCTCGCTAGGAGGTTGGGGGAATGCCAGTTGGGTTTGAAACAGGGGGTGCCCCAACAACTCAATTTATTGCAATCGTGTAGCAGTGTAGCAATTCAAATGGGAAACACATAGAAAATCATAGAAAAAAATGATCATCAAAAAGGTTCAAAAAATCTCCATATATCTGATATATCTCCATCCTGTCCCCATTTCTGGATTTCCATTGGCACCTGCAAAGGACACTCAGCAGCTGCCAGGTGTGAGGTCGCCTAAAGACACGTGATGTCTCGTGGTCCAGGCTCATGAGGTCACTGGGTCACGATTCCACAAGGCCCGAGCACATCAGGAAATGGCTTGTTGGTCAGATTCTTCAAGACCTCGCCATAAGAGGCCGGAAACAGAAGTTCCATGAATTTCACTGAAGGATGGAGAGAACATGACATATAGTCCTCACAAGACTTCAGCTTGCCTCATGGGAAGGAACATGGATTGTGAACACACACACACACCTCTCAAGTGGCAGAAGTTGCAGCAGGGCTTGAGCATCCGACGGGCCCAGTCAAAGAGTCAGCCATGCTCCACAATTCTGCTGCCTCAGTTTTCTCTCTCCAAAAGAGTTTGTTGCAAGTCGTGCCACACAAAAACTTATGAATCTTATGACAGGAAGGGCAGTCACCCCCTTGACACGCCGCATGGGTGCTTTTTGTGGACGCACCAACAGCCGAAGGCTCTTCCTGGGATACCCTGAAGGGTTGGCATACCCTGAAGGGTTGGCGAAAGAAGGAGAACAAGCCTCTCAACATCCCGATGGACTGCGTGCAATAAAGCTCCAATATGGCAAACAATCCGCTAGATGATCATGCATCATGCTTCCTCCTTGGAAGATCAAACAGCTTCTAAGCCTGAAATTGTAATATATTGTACTATAGTAAGTTAATTATAGCATATTAATATAAATCACATCTATTCACATCTATTTACCGGCAAAATTGCAACTTGTTGTAAGCGTATCCTGACAGAAAATATCCAACCTCGCACAGAAATTTCCACTGGATGATTTTGGGCCTCGGTAAGCACAACTAAACACATCCGGCAGGGTGCACATAGGTGCCCCATGGTGCCCCTGAGAAATGAAAATCCAATGTGCTTTCAATTTGACCCAACAATCGTTCTCCGAGATTCTGGGGCTTTACTACTAAACAATACTAAACACCACTAGCAACCCCAACCAATCCCAACAAATTTCTCAACATTTCTCAACTAATGTCATAAGATAATTATAAGATGTCATAAGACCCGTTATAACATGAAGATCATGTGCTCCACTCGCCGTTTGAACAGCACTCACTTGCTGTGCCCTAGCTGTGCTCGTGCTCGCTACGCAGGAGGCCCAGCCATGCCTGGTACAAGTCATCCATTCCCATCTCCATGGCCAGAACGGGGGGATTTACGAACCAATGTGGACCATCAAAGATGGCCATGAAAACATAGGGAAATCGAGTCTTTTCATTTGAAAATGTATCGAACATACACATCAGGGGAAGAAAAACAAAAGGCTTTAAATACGACAATCACAGAGAAAAATCAGGAAAATCAGGTGCAGGTTTTCACACTTTTTAAACTTTAAATTATTAATTAATATATATATAATATATATATATATATATATTTGCCTCATGGGGTGCAGGGAAGTTATGGGAAACATTACATTGGGAAACTAACTCATGGGTTGGGGCCCTGGGGTTGGCACTGCCAGGCCTTGGACAAAGTGTATACCAAGACGATGGACACCATGGTGGTTGCCAGCACTGGGCCAAGATTCCAATCCAGCCGTGCTTCACCTGCTCCGATCCTATCTCGATCAATCTCGATGCTTCTTGGTTTATGTCATTTATGCCTGTGAAAATGAAGGAAAAAAGGGAAGGACATTCAGAAACAAAGACCGCACACACACACAGAATCCATAGAGATATAAGATACGATTAAGATACTCGTAGTTACTTCAGATGATGGCACATATGTCCAAAACTCAGTGAGCGTTTGTGTGTGAAAACATGAGCACATGTAAACATGCAAATCTACTGCAGGACATGCATATAAGATTGTATAAGTATAATAATTATATATTAAGCATATGATAGTACATGTATGATACTTCACAGGCTTCAAAGGGCACAAGAAAATACAAAATGATAGTTAATTACAAGACATATCATGATATATCTGTGTGGTTCTCCACTATTCTCCACTATTCATCAAATAATTTAGGAATTGTTGTCCAGTCATCCAAAACATTCCAGAACCATTACTGGCCTATCAACTTGATGAGTGGCTTGGCATCAAGACCGCGCCCAAGTACTTCAAGGAAGACTATGAATGTAACAAATGCCTATTGATTCCGGTTGTGAACATCAAATCTGAACATCAACTGACTTCTACTGGCGTATACTGGCGTTCCTGCCACGTGAAGTGACATGTCTCAAGTTGGGGAATTGAGGTGACTGATTCTGAATGATGGTGCATGTATGATGCGAATGTGACCCCCAAAAAAGGCGAGCCATTGGCTCTGCAGGAAATGCGTTTCTGCCATGCCACGATTCTTCACCACCTTTGAGCGGCCCTTGATTTCATCAAGTCGTTGGAAGTAGGCGACCTCAACAATGCCAGGATCCCGTAACAACATGTGCCGACCTTTTGAAAGTGATATAGGGCCGAGGTTTCCCAAGTGCTGAGCAACGGGAGTTGGATTTCTGAACAGTGAAATGCAGTTTTTTCATCGCACTGGTAGGGATGAACAATGAGCATGGGCAAGCCTAGCTAGCTGTAGCACGGACATTTGGGTGGCAGGGTAGTAACTTGGGGGTTTTTGTGAGATGATGATGTATGTAGATCTTGCTGTCGCCTGTTTTCCTGAGTCGCTGTCGTACAGGGGAAAGAACACGTGGCGCGAATAGTTGGTTGATCTGGTTCAAAACGAAGAACTACTGCAAATTGAAAACACGGCGCAGCTGGAAAAACACGTTGTTCAAACCGAAATTGCAGGTACGTCAGGAAAGCGTCCCTTCCTGATATCCTAGTCTGGCACCTGGAGCTTCGTTGGCCCACGCCAGGAATCAGACCCGTGTGCCCCCTGCATAGTTGAATTATATCGTATGTGATAACGGTTTTCGCACACACACACACAGCGAAGACAAAATGAGACCGTCAAAGGGTTTATGTGTTTTCACTTGCTGGATATGCCAAGCGACCAGGATCCAAACGTAGTACACGGCAGTCATGACCTTGAAATCACTTCAGTGATGGCAGTCTGCCGGTTCTGAAAGAAGGTGGTGGTGGCAGCGGCATTTACTGTTTTATCCACTGCCAGAGCCATGATGCTGGTAATACAAAAATTATGTTCCGATCATTTCCAATCAGTGATGTTTCTCTGCCTGGCTAAAATGCAGCCAAAACAGCTCTTTCACACAAATTGGATTCTTGGATCTGTGGGTCATGAGATCACCTTTGTACTGCAGTACACAATCAATCCAAATAAATTAAGATAAATTAAGTGGGGTTGAGGTTTCGATTTCTGGGGTTCTGACTGAAAGTGCTCCGCCGAGAATCTGGCGACATGCGTGCTGCATGCTGGCAGTGTTTCAACTCAGTAATTAGCCTTCAAGTTTAGTTTAGTTAGGCCGCTTGGTTTCGTATGTCGTTGGGACATTCCCGTCGCAGCTATTCAATGAATCCGGCTAGAAGTGCTGCGTTTCGACCGGTGCTGGCGTGATACAGTAGCAAGTTGTAAAGTTCAAGATGTCACAGCGTCGAGCGACACGCCTTGTAGCGCCCCCCTTGATGAAGAATGATCACAGCGACGGCAGCAACATACCTTGGCTGGATGAACCCAGGCCCGTAGGGCCTGGCACTAAACACATTTTCTGACACCCAACGATTGAGGAATCTGATCAGCGGGTATGAGTGAATACCAATGGCATCCAATGGCTGAACTACCAAGATTGCAAAATTTGCAAATACTACAAACAGTTCCGAACAAATAGCAATCAAGCTGCATGCCTTTTTCTGCGTAGTGCAGCAACGTTCTTTCGTTGGCGAACACAGCTTTGGGATCCAGATTCTCCATGTCCTCTGCTCAGATATCACGGCCGGATATCACGGCAGTATGTATCATGATTCAACTCATATTCAACTCATCAGATTCATCAGGTCTGCCGGCCAAATGTTTTTAAAATGAACCGCAAATCACAGGGATCTCATGGGGGTGATTTATTTTCGGTCCTTGAGGAAATGTCCCTCGCCATGAGGCGCCACAATCTTGGAGACGTTTGGTACCTCAAGCTGGTGTAATTCCCACGTATTCTGTGCCACGACCAAACTGGGAAAATAATGGAAAATATGGAAGATAAATAAATAAAAACATGATTAAAATAGTGCAAAGCTATGCAAAGCCACACGATGTTGCACATGAAAAAGGTCGGAAAAGCATTCCAAGACATACTTGCTTTCCCCGAAGCAAGGTGACCGAGGCACTGCGAGATCGTCGATGACAGTATCACTTTTCAGCAACGCTGAGGCGTTGCCCTTACCTTGCAGCAACGCCGTGCCAATCAGCTCCGCTGTCCAACTCGTTTGAGTAGTTTGGTGGGAGGCAACTCGAAATGAATGATCAATAACATCAATAATAGTCAATAACTGACTCCATGACCCATTCCATCCCAAACAGTCCCATACCCAACAGCTGTGAAGCCTCCAACAAGTCAACAACTGCAGGTTCATTCTTGGTCTTTCCGGTGCGACGGCTTGGCACACCCAGCCCAACAACCATCAACCACTGCTGTCAAGATCTGTCAAGGCTCCGAAGCGCAGTTTCTTTTCATCCTGGTTGAAAAAAGGCAGAGGGGTTACTATGGTTACTCTATGTTACTCTGTTGCCTGACATGTCTCTCCGTCTCTCTGTCTCTGTCGCCCTCGCCAAGAGATAATATGTCATGACTGGGTTCCTTTTGCTTTTGACAACACCTGATTGCAACATGTTGCAACTCCAACTTTTGGGTCATGCACATCAACTCTTTGAGAAAGCAGTTACGTACGAAGCAGCCTCGTGGTTTGAGATGCAATGTATCCAAAATCTTCGATTTCTGTCCTTTGCTTTGTGCCATTCTTCGAAGTCTTTGTGCCAGTGCGGCCACGTAGGGACACGCTGTGGATGAAGAAATGCCATTGCATGCCTTGCAAAAAGCCCACCCAACACCGGAGACATTGGATAACATTGGAATATGTTGATGCCACAGCAGGGTAGTGGCAAGCCTGTTATTTAGTCAGATATAGTCAGATCATAGGTCAAGAATCTCAACCTCTGTTGGTAGTTTTTAGCTTATAAAAACGTTACGACATCAGCACGCAAATACATGAGCACCACAAACATGCATGTATGTCAGGTAGGTAGGCAGGCAGGTAGGGGCACATGCATGTTTGATCATGTTTGCATGTCTATATGCATGAATGCACGCGCGCCCACACACCGACACCCACACATGCACCCACACACACACACACTAGACAAGAATGGATCATTATATGATCCGGCAGGAACTGAATCCTGAAACATGCAGATTAGATACGAAACAATGAAATTAACGATGCATCCTACGAATAATGCAGGTACGTTTACACATCGCGAAAACACAATCTGATGCAGGTACGTCCAGCTGGCCAAGCTGGATATCCCATTTCACTGGTAGCTTCGTTGGACACAGTCCCAGTGAAATGCTGTGTCCCCCTGCATTGAATTTAGAATTAGAAAGCGAGAGGACAAAGGAAGAAAAAAAGAGAGAAATTTTACATCTATTTAGATGTTACACACACACACCCGGCCGGAGCCGGGTCAACCCTGAAAGGCAAGAGGAAGAACAAAGCGGACATACGACGGGCAGACGGCCAAAAACAGCGCGGGGGGGGAGGGGAACAGACGGACCTCCGGAACCAACCTACACGGCGAAACGGACCTGACAAAAACAGCGCACACACCTAAACCCCACGACACATTACGGAGAGGCACGCGGGGAAAATTAGGGACCAAATGGGGGACTAGTTAATGACAGGCAAGAGAACCAAAACAATTAATTAAAAGCAGGATTCAGCTCCTAAACCTACAGGTCGTGCGTTGTGCCAATCTAGGCCCGTAGTCCAGTCAGCCCCAAGGGCATAAGACGGCTTTCAAGTTCCAGCGAATTAGGTGCACAATATGTTTCACCTCACCAGACAACCAAAAGGAAAAAGACCACACCTGAAAGACGTGCGCCTGCCTTTTCACAATGTCTTGACATGATTTCATGTAGCTGCAAAGGTTGCTGCAAAAAACGGAGGTTTCTGAAGTTTGGCACGGCTTCACAGTTGAAGAAACGCATCTGCGAGTAATCCCTGGGACATCCGGAGCAGCGAGAATACCCAAAAACGGTGCACAACCGAAAGGCTGACTGTTGCACTTTACTTAAACGAATTACTAAGTTAAAATGTGTGAATTCAGAATTCAGGTCTGTCAACACTCACCCTGAAGAGGGTTGCCTCAAATGGCTCCATGGCACCATGTCGGAGCCACCATGGAAATCACACTAGACAAGAATGGATCATTATATGATCCGGCAGGAACTGAATCCTGAAACATGCAGATTAGATACGAAACAATGAAATTAACGATGCATCCTACGAATAATGCAGGTACGTTTACACATCGCGAAAACACAATCTGATGCAGGTACGTCCAGCTGGCCAAGCTGGATATCCCATTTCACTGGTAGCTTCGTTGGACACAGTCCCAGTGAAATGCTGTGTCCCCCTGCATTGAATTTAGAATTAGAAAGGGAGAGGACAAAGGAAGAAAAAGAGAGAGAAGTTTTACATCTATTTAGATGTTACACACACACACACGTAAATTCGTAGAAGTTCGTAGATGTGTAAGCCTTGGTCACTTGAGCAAACATAGCAACCCGCGGCTGCAAAAGACTTCGGCCCAGCAACTGGAATTTGGAGAACTTGTGAACCTGGATTGCCTGGCAAGTTTCAGAAAACCGAGGGATGGGTAGGGGCGGGTAGGGCTGTACCAATGCCTCACTGTCCTGATTTCATTCCCAGCACAGATTGTGCCACTGAGCCATTGATACACTGGCCACACTTGTAGAGTCACAATATAGGCTTACCGATACCATCCAATCACCAAACATGCCAACTTGGCCCCGATGTCGTTCAATGTTTGCCGCAGCCACAGCGGCGCTTCCGACACGTCCTGCAACTTAATCTCCAGGATCGCATACCTTTTGAGGCGAACGTCTGCATCATGGCTGTGGGGCTGCCCAGTTCAGATTTCATATAAATATATATATATATATATTATATATATATATGTGATATGTATATATATATGAAATACATAGAATCATGAAATTGCATGCGATGCATCTAATATATGGATATTTACGGAAATGCATCGGAGAACCATTCATGAACCTTTCCACAACCCAAGGCATCGAAAACTGAGACAGAAGCAGCAGCTGAGCGTAACTGGCTGTGGTTTGTGGCTAGGCGCGGGAAGCGGTAGATATCATCCCGTTGCAAAGTGTCAGTGCCGACAAGGCCTTGGCTGCCGCAAGGCCCATCCTGAACAGCTCAGGAATACGGCTGCTGATTTCATGGATTTATAGTGTGATATTTCATGCAGTCAAAGCGACACCAAGGTTTGTTGGGATGACCATTCGGCACATACTCCTCAGCAGTGCAGATTTGCTGTGAAGCCAGCACTTCACTCACTTCACTCACTTCACTCACTTCACTCCCTGCAAATGTGAAGGTCGTGCCTTCCAGGGCTTGCTTACCACCTGCCTTTGACCATGGGCCAATATGTGCCATGATCTTCCTCAGACTTGATCACCATGTCTTAAACTGCTTTTCTTTTCGAGCCCCGAGTGTCGTTGAGAAGCGACATCTGCGTGTCCAGGGAAATGCGGACCTTGTTGTCGGTCGCCAGCCTTGACAGCGGACAGCACCATTAACAAAAAACAGGGCCTCCAACCAACTGCTCCAAATCCACCTTGCATAGTTGTAAGCTGCATCTAGGCCTTAAAACTTTTTATCTGACGAAAGCTTTTGACAGTAGGAGTGTTGGCCGGCATGGAGAAATTGAGAATACATGTGAGAAACACTTTTGAATGGCAAAATATGGCAAGACTGCGTCAATGCGGATTGTTTGACGATGATTGAATGACCGACTTGAGATGGAGCGCGTGCCTGAAGTTCTCAAACAATGATAAACAAACGCACGTGCGGGAAATTGATTGGGAAGACTTAGATGTGCCCACATAGCTTCAAATCAGTGGCTGAAAAGCACATCTGTAGTACGAAGTTCGAATGATGGGCTGGAGTTTCCTTAGCTCGACTTCCAGATGTTCCAGGGGGGAAACAAATGGAAACAAGGGATGTCAAGGTTTGCATCCCCAGCTGATATGGTGTAAAATTCTGAGTCCAAGCAGCTTTTCCTGAATCATCTTGTTCACCTGCGCGTGTCATCGTTGAGCGAATCGCTGCTTCCATGGCGAAAAATGGTTCCCTCGAATCATAGGTAGAGTTGCCACGAACAGAATTGTATAGCACAACTGGGAAACCACGGAAAACCATGGGAAACCTCACTATAGCCCAAATGTATCCAAATGTGCCCATGCTAGTCATGCTACTCTTTGGATACTCTTTGGTAGCTTGGAACAAAAGAAAAACGTCTGGAAGGCCACTGCTGTTCTCGGTGCTGTTCTTTTCAACGAGCTTTGCGCCGAGCGAAACGGAGCCATGCCGCTGGATCGCACCACCTTTGTGGAGGCCCTTTGGCACAGCAACCTGCAACCGGGACCGTCCCAAACTGTCCCGAAACAATCCGAAACCATCCTTGTTGAGTTTCCAGTTGAAAAAGTGTTGAACAGTTTGGTGCCAGCATCTCAAGAAAAGAATAGAAAAGATATGAAAAGTAATTACACCAAGAATGTTATGTAGTCGGGTCATTTGGGCAGGGCTTTCTATCACAAAGCCACGGCTTGATTTTGTGTCACGTATTTGAATGCATGCTGCTTTGTAATATTTCCATTTTTGCTTCCATGCTGATGAGAAAGTGACGTGAAAGTTGAAAGGTAGCCTGTAGATACTTGATGCTGCAACTACTGATCAATTCAAATATATTCACATGTTTCCACCACTACAATTCTTGATAGGTGCACAAATGACGGTGAAACTCTCCACAAACCTCAACTCAAATTGTAGACCTGAAACTATTGAAACTGGATCAGCATAGGCAGTAGATATAGGCATCCAAGTCATGGACGTTGGACTTGGGTTTGCCGCGTCTCTCACATAGACACCACATCTGCCCTGTAGCCGAGGAATTGTTTGAGATCATCTAGATCCTTGGCGATTTGGATTGTCTCCTTGCGCAAAGGTCTCAAGAGTTTGAGCGTTTGGATGGCCCACATGGGAACATCCAGCAGGAGAAGGTGTAGCAAACCTTCAAAAAACCTTGGCTTTGCTGCTCGCCAAAACAAAGCAAAAAAAAAACAGGGATGCACAAAGGCGGGTAGTGTCACATAGTGGCAAAACATGGCAAACCACTGAACATGTTCTAAGATGTTCTAAGCAAATGCTGGAAACTCAGCCTGGGTTAAAGTTCCTCCTTCGTCGACATCAAGCCTTAGCACAGCAGCAAGGTATCCATGTGCATACTTCTAGCTCTTGGGGGGCAACACGTTCCATACCTTTTTTCCCCTAGACGTGCCACAAAGCAGCCTTGTTTTTTTGGATCTTGTCTGCCAAAAGAGTTTGGTCCTTCGGAATTCACATGAATCCAATTACAATTGGGTCATTGCAAGAAAACCATGTCTGCTTTTCTCGGACGGCTGGCTGTTTGCCGTCATTTTCTTAGGGACTTGTAGTCCAGAAATCGGACTGATCCCAAAACAAACATCACCTAAGACGTTCTTGAGTGGACGTTAGAAAGATCAAGAAAGATCCCTTAAATGATAGTTTTTCAGCTTTTCTTTCCTCAGAGTCCTAGATATCTATACCGACGATGCACCTGGTGCCCTCCTACGGTAGGGAACTAATGAATGTCCTCGAGGTGCGACAAAGCTGATATGAAGAGAGGTCCGGAAAGGTGTCTGATGCTTATCACAGAAAACCATCAAAGGTATCAGTTTTGGGGGTGTACGTTGTCAAGAGCCTGTTTCCTTGCTTTTTCCCGTGAGAGTTCATTCATCAAAGTGTATCTTGCATCAAATTGGTGCTTGCCAATGGGCCATTGCTGCGACATATTTCTCCTATTTTTCATTCTCCCGAAAATGGATTCTCAATGCAAGAGGGTTGAACGTGTCTACTTCAACCAAACACAGAAAAAGAAACGCTTGGAGTGATCAGCAGGCGATTGCCAGCAGGCGAATGTTGAAGTGACTAAGCATCAAACATTTCGAAGAGATCTGCCATACCTCGGCCACCAAACGCCCTGCGAACTGGACTTCAATTTGTTTCTGATTGAAATGCATTGAAATGCTTGGAATAGTTCAGGAAACCCTTTGCAAAACCATCCAAAAACTTTTTCGCCCTTTGTTTTTGAAGCTGAAGCCTTTCTCACTGAGAGACACCGTACCGAGGCACCGTTTTTCAGCCTTTAAGACTTTAAGAAGGGCCCGCCTAAATGTTCAGCCCGAGCTGCTATCCACTGACACTGCCTCCAAGACTTTGGGCGGAAAGACCTCAGGGGCCAAACTTCACAAATCATGCTAGCCACACAATGCCACACAACAAAATGGTTACAAACCTCAACACAATTCAACAACAGAAACATGAACCCATTGCAACATTCATCAGATGCTTTTTTAGATTTAGATGAGACATCTTCAAGTTGCGGACAATACCTTCACTCCCCAACTCAACAACTCAGCAAGATCAGCAAGTCACTACTTTGCCAAAGTATTTGATTCATGTGTGCGCGAAACGCTGAGTTTTCTCGTCTGAAGCGGTCGGGTGAAAGGCATGAAATTGCAATGTTGTAAAAAAGTTACAGCAGCTCAGAGAAGTAGCTCCAACAAGGGATGACTCAAAGAAGGGAAAGCTAAGGAGTGAAAGAAAGGCAGAGAGCCCAAACAAGAGATAGCTAAGGAGAAACTCAAAGAAGAGGTAACTCACAAAGAAGTAACCCGGAGAACATGGTTGAGGAAAGAGATAACTGTTAACTCAGGAAAGAGGTAGTTGAGGAGAGAGATAGCTCAAAGCAGCCGTAGCTTCCGATGGCCAGCTCACGCACAAATACAGTAGTTGGGAAGCGGGAGACCGTAGCTGAGGGAAAAGAAACAAGAAACAACTCAGTTCGAAAAAAAATAACTCAAAGGAGAGCTAGTGCAAAGAGCCATTCACGCCGTCAGGCCATTCAAACATATTCAAACATTCAGTATCATTCAGTATCAAACACTGATGTCAGCATTGTCAGCGGCAAATTTTCCTTTGAACATCTTTGAACATTGTTTACAAAAGTTCCATACCTGCGGGGCCGCACGCTATCTTGTGGTATTTTAATTTTAAACGCAATCATCCAACAAGAAAATGCCAAACAAATTTGTTGCAGATAAGACACAGTTAAAGGCACATTAGCGGCCTCAGCACGTGTAACATGTCCAGAGCCATCTGCATCCAACGATGTGAAAATTGTCTGTAGTTCTGGAAGGGCTGCTTTGATCTTCTCCTTGACGGCAAGGGGTGCATGATGCCAACATATTTTAAACACGTCATCGATTTGTGTTCTGACTTGACGGCCAAATACGGCCAAACTCGGGGACCCATGAAAACCTGCAGTCGATTGGAAATTGACAGGGTGTTGAGGGGTCCAACAGCAAAACTCTGAACAACATGCAGCAGTTTCATTTAGCATCGTACACTGCAAATCTTCATGGCGGCTGTGATTTTTGTGGTTCCCACCCCTGAATGCTGTGACTTCAAGCGCCAAGCAAATAATGCAAATACATGCAAATACAATTGGTTTGGCTTGGATGTTCCCAGCCACTACAACGGCAATGTCCGGCAAATCATGGCAAAAAATGCAAAAAAATAAACAACACAAAACTATGATTGAAAACAGATCGACCAGTCCCAAATGCATGTTGGTTTGCAGTGGGAACCCTTTCTGATCAAACATGTTCTCACAAACTTTGACAGAAAAAAAAACAGCAACCCATACAAATGTCCTTCGTGTGCATGCGATGAACTTCTTCTTCACGGGTCGCATGGCTAAGCGCATGCTCAACAAGTACCGCTGTCACCTCAAAACCGTTTTTTTTTAAACATCTGCCCGTATCAAATCAAGACCACCCTAGCATGAAAACAACCTTTCCTATGTGTTCCCGTGGAACATGCATGAAGAGAAATCATGAGGCCAATGTTTAGCCAATATTTTTCTTCAACAATTTGCGGTTTTGCGGGAAGCGGGCGTCTGCAGCAGCATTCCGTCAGCATCTTGAACAAAAGTTCACGGAAGCAAACACAAGGAAAGGAGAACAACCTTCAGGGCCTGGAACTGCGAGACAGAAACTCAAGGGGGCGGATTGTTGTTTGAAAGAGATGAATGGATTTGAATGGATACAAGCTGGTCTTTGACCAAGGCGGGGGCCACGGAAATCTTGGCACAGATTGCAGGAAACAAAGGGGGGAACATGAAGTTCCCTAAAAGAAAAACAATAAGCAGGGTTGACAATGGTCTCTGCGCGCTTTTAACTTGCATCTCAACGCGGGACCTGGTGGAAACAGAGCAGGCCATTGACCAACAAAAAAAACCATAGAAAGAACACATCGGTCCCCTGAAGTGACGCACGGCAGGGTTCGTGCCCCCTTGTCTGACGCTTGGAGGACACTTGAATAGGAACAGCGAAAATGGACTCTGAGGAGTGACGGTGGTCTCCAGGCAAACCATGGCAAACCACTGGCGGCCCTTGCTAGCTTGAGCTGTTGGTGGATGGGAAAGAGTGGCTATGTAAAGACTTGAGGTTGTAGCCGAACTAGTGCTTCTGGAACTTGCCAATGCCAGAGTGAAAGCGAGGCATGACTGGAGCGAACCCGAACTGGAGCTGGATGCTGTGCAGCTCGAGGTATAGGCGTTGGCATAGACCTGCCTGAATGCCTCCAGGAAAAATGGTTATTAATACCCAAGTATTTGGAGAAAAATGTGGTTTGGTGGTGTTTCAGCTTGTCTTCTTTGCGCTGTGATTCTTGTTTTCAAGGGCTTGGACCACGCGGATAGTGGGGCTTCAAATTTCAATGCCAGAAAGTCCTGTCGTGCTTAAGGAGGGCGTCTCCATTCCTGTCGGAGGTTGCAGCCCGGGTCTGAAATCGCGATGTCCCTTGAATGGAGATCTCACATAGAGGTAAACGATAGGTAAATGTACCAGTAGGAGCTGGTTGTTCAGGTTCTGGAGATCCATCATCGGACATCACTGGAGTGGCCATGGCCCAGGTATAGGGTGTAAGTGTATAAGTATGACGAAAACAAAAGCACAACAAAAACAAAAAAGGGCACAGCCCAATCAACATGTCGCAAAATAAAAAGTATCAGTAACAGAAAATAGAACGGAGAGGAATGGTAAAGAAAGTGAGAATCGGGCATGCAGTGATGTCGGCAGCATTCCTGAAAGTGTGGCAAAGCTAAAGTTTGTGCCAAATGCCTGTTAATCGTTGTTAAGCGGCACATGCATGCACATAACACCCTAAGAACAACCACTGTTTGCTTTCTGCGCCTTTGAAACCCTCTCGGCATGAAATTGTGTGAGAACATGGGTGGCTTTCCCGAAACTGCAAGACAAGCCCTTTGAGTCAGTTGAATCTCTTGGAAAAGGAAACAGGGCTGCTCAATGGCGCGGGGTTCAAGCAAAGGCGAGCAGGCAGGGAGATTCGCAAAACATCAACGGTGAAGAGAGGAGGGAAGCAGCCAACACTGATATGCCAAACGACGCAAACGCAGCTTCACGGAAAATCCTATTCCCTGTCTGATCCTGTCTGTTTTCATCTTATCTTTCCAGCATGGTCTCTGCAAGAGCCCCACACCAAACGCCAACAAGGCCCCAGATTAGTTACAAATGTTATAGAGCATTTTTTGCGGTCCTGGCAAGATCTGAGTACAAGATCTCTTGCAAAGGGTTTCCGTGCAAAAATGTGCGAACTGATCAAAATGTCGTTGGCACTGCTGCAAGACTTGAGTGCAAAGTCTCTCTGCAAAATATCCTGGCAAGACAGATGTCAAGAGCCATCAAAATGGCTCCAAAATTCTTGAAGTATCAATATGCATCAATATGCAATATCTATCCGTACAACCTATCATCCAGGATCGCTACTACATGTCGGTGTAACATATCTTGAGCCTCCCCACAAAATCCACGCTGCATCTATAAGATCTATCGAAAACTGGGTGTCTAGGAAAGTCAAGGAGGATCGCCCCCCGCTGCATACACGCTCCGGGCCGACGAAGCAAAAAACCCGAACCCATCGGAAATCAGTGAGGAGTAGCATTGTCCGACACAAAAGAAAGAGACTCCTCAAAGATCTTCCTGATCGAGAAAATACACGAACATCCTGGCCACTTGTTGACCCGGAGTCTTTGCCAAGGTGCAAGATTCATCAAGCCGATAGGGATCAAAACCATCAACGGCATGAAGTAAATCGCCAGCCAAGGTTTTGCCATGATCAACGGGAAATAGACTCCTGCACTTCAAATGAGTGGATTAAAATGGATTAAATGAGCAGACCCGGCACAACATGAAACTATGGAAACTATCGGCCCTTCCCTGGAAAAAATGAGATGGTCCCTCGCTCCGACAGAGGTTGGAGCTTATGGTCAGTGTTCGGAGTGTTTGCGTTGGTGCTTGTTGAAACATCGATATGCTCCGGCTCCACTGGTTTCCTTTCCGTCTGTCAAAGACAGACCAGTACAGTCAAGGCATCGGAGTTTTCCATGTGTGAACATGTTCTACAGCTGCGGACCATTTGTCATGTTTGATATGCCGAGCTTTTGCCTTTCTTGCGGGCCAGCTTGCACACCATAAATAATCATAAATCTAGTTGTGGAGGTGGGTTGTGTGTTCCATCGATCAAGCAGAAGAAAGAACGCACGCGAGAAAGAAGGACAAAAGAAAAGAGAGAAACGACCATATCATAACGAGAATTGATGCAGAAAGTTGAGAGGTGACAAAGAGGCAACATGGCGCACTACTTACTCCACAACCATAACCCAATGAACATGCGCCATACCTGGGCCATACCCAAATCACCATGTCACGCCTACATGTAATTATCCGGATGTGTGCTCTACTAGTCCTCTAATCTTCTCTACTCTTTTCCTCTCCGCTCTTAAGTTCTCTTCTCTCTTCTTCTCTCCTCCTCTCTCCTCCATCTCTTCTATTGTTCTCTTCGACTGTTCTCTATTCTCGGTGTGAGTGAACTCATCTGCAACTCGGAGTTTCTGTCGTAAAAATAATCTCTCTCAAAAAGTGATGTGCCGCTGCAAAGTGTTAGAAAATAATACATGCCAGAAACAACTGGTTCATCCCTGTAAGTATCCAGCTGCACACCGTTTGCGGCACAAGAAGATAACATTAAAAGATAACCGCGGTCGATGTTGGGAAGGTGAGGGGAGCTTTGAAATAAAAAGCTAGACAGGACTCACTCACGTATTGAGAGATTCATTGATTGATTGGTTGTCAAAATGATTTCAACTGTTGGATTGACCAAGTGACTGACAAATACGGGTACAGTTAGACAACTAGACAAACAATGACAAACGGCCAGGGATGGATGGGTGAATAATGGTGAATAAACAATTAAATAGATGATACATCAGGAGGATGGATGTTTTCACTCGAGGCTGTGCGCTGTCCAAAGTAAATCAAACCCAGCTGTTGCAATGTCTGGGAATCCTGGACTGTTACTGCGCAACTGCACAAGTTTACCCATCACATTCCAGCCATTCCGCTGGAATCCACTGGAGCCTGCGATGGAATCCAAGCTAACAAACTGCACCAAAGTCAAGATCGCCCGTGGCAAGGATCCGAAGGCATACCTGTAGCAGGACATAAAATGCTGGAAGAAAAGGATTCCCCTTTCCTTCGCCCAAGCCAGTAGGACTGCACATGACTGCACAAATGAGTTTCCGTGAATGGAACCATCGTTGGGAACATGGAGAACACCTGGGCGCAATCTTTTTGTTTGACTATGTTTGACTGCAATTTTAGGCGTTGGATCCAACCATTGGGAAGTGAGCAGTGGGTCAAAGCTCTGCCAGAGCCGATGGGGTGTATTTCTACTCATGGCCGACCTGCTTTCTAGTATCCAAACTACACCAAGGTCAAAAAAGAGAATGAGAAAAGACACTTTGTCAATTGATACCATTTCACGAAGTGGATAGTGGATACAATTTGATCCAATCAGCTGGACTTCCAATACACCAAGACGCTCGACTATGGCCCCAGTGTCAGGATTGTTCAGAAGATCTTTGTCTTTGCTGACGATCTCGACCGCCACGCAAGCGAAAATAAATAGCCAAAGCATTATCAAACCTTGCGGAAACAATTGAACAAATGAGCATTGCGACACAGGTTTTATAATGAGTATGTTCGATTATTTTCCGTGTTTTTTTGGAGACCTTTCACCATCACAAATACACAGCTAATATTCATGCTTTAATTCTTTATATATTTTTTTGTTGCATTGAAGCAAATCGTAACTTTTTGATATTGGCTTACAAATTTCTGAAGGTACATGAGCTTGGTCTCTGCCATTCCCCTACTGCAAAAATCTAGATCCAGTTACTGCATGCATGACGTGCCAGTAGGCCATTGAATGCGGTGTGGACAGATTCAGACCTGCCTGTCAAATACACTTCCCAAAATACACTTCCCCAGCCCAATCGATCTATTATGATCTATTGCATGGCATCCACTGCTGAAGCACACAGTTGAGCATTGTCACCAGCGGGTCATGTAAGAACAACATGGAATAACAACTCCAAGGTCAAACGCACACGTTGGACAAGGATGGGTAAGGTAGCAAATGTAGCCAGTGTATATACGTGCAACGCAGCACGTGCCGCAACCCCTTCCCAGAAACCTAGGGCAAACATGCCCCGACACAGAATCAAAGTCATGCGCCATTGAAGGTTAATCAAAAGATATCAAAAGGGCAAAACACAAAAAACATCAAAAAACATCAACATATTTAAACATTCATAAGATATTATAAGATATTCTCAATTTGCCAAGCTGATGCAGGAGAAGCCGGTAGCTGAGAGCATAGTATCCCAGGCTGTCAGGAGGCCAGATACCAAGCGCCACACCACCTGGTAAGGGGTCCGTGAAGGGTCCTTGATGGGTCCGATGATGGTCCGATGGGTCTTGTTTCAAAGTTGGCTTGGCAAAAGCGATACGGCATGCCACGACACACAATATGACGGAAAACCAATATAGAAAATAATAGAAACTGCCAGGGAACATCCGTCATATCGATCTACTCCTCTACCCAACATCTTGCCCATGGATGTTATAGCAGGTTTGGACCTACCCGCCTTGAAGCGCCCAACCATTCGTAAAACACGAGCCAATCTCAACAAGCGCAAGCCGCGTACGACCAGTAGTTTCTCGAAACCAGCCATATCAGTGCCACCACCTTCGATGAAAATCATTGGCAGGGCAAAACTTGCATTTTTTCTGGAAGTGTGCCCTGCACTTGCCTTTTCTCCAAATTCCTGTCTGAGTGTTATGTAATTTTTGGGGGGCACAGTCTGCAAATGACCAGCAGCCTGTCAACATAGGTGCCACAACCACTGCAAGCATGCCCACGCATACCAAGAAAAAATCTAAAAGAAACCAGCAGCTCCAAAAGGTTCGAATCCCTCCACCTGGCGAGATTGGCAGCATCAACACATTCACCCAGCACAAAATGCGCAAACAAATCATCACATTATTTCTGTGAAAGCAATCGGACACATGAGGATGTATGATGCATCACAACATATATCAACATATCACAACATATATTCTATAGTCTATAGTCAATGTAATCCTTTGCTGCCTTTCCAGCATCTGACTTGTAGACTTGTAGCTATCAAACCTGAGAGGAAACCAAGTGGAACCTCACGTATGCTTGACCACTCAACGCCTGCGATTCGCAATAAGAGTTCCAGGGTGTAGACTGCAAGAAAGGCTTGCTCCACATTGGTAGCCCAGCTCATCTCCTCTTTCTTTGTCAGAGACATCTCTGCTTCAATTCCAATCATAATTATGTTGGCCAAGATGATGATGCCGGTCAAATATTCGAAAAACACGGAATCCACAAAGGCCGACAACGCTCGACGCCTTTTCCCCCATTCACTGTGATCTTTCTTCTCCAGAGCTGTCGCTTCTTGATCCACAATCACTTCCTCCAGCAGTTCAGGCAAAGGACCACCAGGACGTTGATGGCCTTGCTCTGGGAGTTTGTTGAGCCCTGACTCGCTGGTGCTTCCATTCATATCGGTGTGGCCATTGCTGTAGACAGTGCCAATACAGAGTGACGCCGACTTAGCCACAGAGGACAGCACCACTGATGGAACCACGGCTGCTTCTTGCTGCACCTTGGCAACTTCATTCGGATCATTCTGCGTGCCATGACAATCATGTCCAAGCTCCATGGCCGGCTTGAGGCTGGAATTCATATCTGCCAGCAGGACCTCCATGGTTTTCCACCTCTTGGAATGCCTGAGCCTATGAACACAGGACGAGTTGATACGAGTTGATTTTCCCAACTCAATGCGAAGGAATTTTATGTTGACTTTTAAAGGGAACACTGTTGCACTAGCATCTCATGCTAAGTGAGTCGCAATTGGATGCAATTGGAACAGGTAGGTTTTGAAGTCTTAAAGTTGAAGGGTAGAACATATAAAATCCGACCTCGACTGCTTGTTGCCATTCTCGGTGCCGCTTCTTGAGAGCATCCATGCTTTCACAGATTTCGGTCGAGACTTCCTGTTGAGCCATCAATTGCTTGGACTCTTGAAGGCCAAGGGGCGGTTTGGGGGGTGCCTTTACAGATGGCTATGCACACTGTGGAGGATATCTTCAACTTGAGCAAGAATGAAGCATTGGGAACGGGGGCAAGCATTCACCAATATTATACAACAAATACAGTAATCTCCATTAAATCTCCCACCAATCACTACACAAAATCAATCACATTTACAACTATTTACACGCCATCATACGCCATCATCAAGAAAAGAAATCATGGTTTGTTGATACAGCTTGGATCAGCTTGGTAGGAGTAGCTGAGTAGTGATTTCAACAGCCCCCCATCCTGCTGTCTGTGGAATGCTAGGGAAATCTGACACGCCGTCTCAGCATCTGCCATTCTGCAGCCAACCCGACGCCCCGAGGGCCGAACCCAGTCGTCACGTAAAGCAATGACTGTCTTGAGCCTTTCTGCAGCACATATGGAGGCCCTGTGACGGGCCCTGTGATGTCCTCCTATGTCCTAGGTCCTGTCGTCGTACATGTGGGATGTTGTGGGCAGGACATTCCAAACATATCACATGAACATGATCACTGGCCATGATCTGCAGAATCAGATTCAGATGATTCTGCTGGTCTTCCCAACCAGGCAAGAAGGCTCCACCTCGATTGCAATGGGTTTCATTCCCTTGATAGTCTTCTCTTTGGTGCCATTTGCAGCTAACCTCAGCTTTACCGGCTAGGGTTTTGCAACCCTGCATTAGGACGCAAATTGCCACTGCTAAGACAGCCTATCCTTGCTAGTAACAGCATATAGACATATACGGGATTCACCACTCAGGATTCATGAGAAGGGTTTGCGATCAGTTAGTGCATCCCATGTATTCCTCTTGCGAACCCCACTAAGCAGGGCCTCCTATTGTGATTTACAAGCTGCAAGACTATCAGATATGGTTCCTTTATTACAGGTGCCTGTGGCCCTACACCAACTCTTGCGCAAACTTGGGAATCCTCCGTCTGGCCCCAGAGTGGGCCTGCTATGACAAATATATTAACATCTCATCATTATGACATGCCTTTGAAGACCCGTTATTTGCATCAGCGGAAGCTGATAAACCTGGCTGCTCACCCTTACCAAGAGGCTTGGCAAAGTAGGCCTCGATGTCGAACTTGCCCTTCATGAAGTCAAACACATCCTTGCGACATCTTGCAACCAAAGAGGGTAGCAGCATGTGGCACCACTCTCCAGCACACTGCAGGTCATGTGCTTTGACATCACTTTCATGCAGGCTCTAACCTGGGCAGCCCAAAATTAGCACCTGGAGTGAGGCTGGAAGTCTATTAGCAGAACACCAGATTTTTTTCTGTGGAACTCTGTATGCTCTATGCAGCATTTGGTCTCGTTCTCTGGCTTGGGGAGTTTAGCCGGAAGCAATGTCCATTTCTGCCGAGGAGCTTCTTGAGGCAGCACGCACCTCTGAGACAAGCAATTTAATTTCATCAAAAACAAGGCACTACGTATCTCTCATATTCCTTCTTATGTTTGCTGGTCGTCATTCAGTTGGCCTTAACGGCTACGCCTACTTCAAATTCGGGTGTTGCAAGTAAGTTTCCATCGCAAACTTATGCAAACTTCAGATAAGGCGCCGCTCTTTTGCAGATTTTGCACCTCCCCATCCTTCATGATGGATTTTTCGCTCGATATAAATTTCCTTGTCATCTTCTTGATTGTTCCTCGGTCCATCTGATGCGACTCCAAAACGCGAATCTGTTTGTCCGATTTGAGATGATTTGAGGCATCTAGTACATTGAACCCAACCGCAACCAAGCCACTCACCATACCATCGGAACCTTTCGAGTATTGGAAGCGAAGAAGCTGTTGCATTGCATGCGAATGTCGTGCACAGTTGATGCAGTTGATGGATGTGTGCCATTTCAGTGGATTTCAGCTCTATATAGTCTGCGGGGGGCGATGGTTTAGAATTACGTCTTTTGAAACAAGAATTTCGGCATCATGGTATCACCACCAACAAACTTTACCAAACATCTGTATTCAACAGATCCCCAACATGTTCCAACACCAAGCAAGGTTCGAAGTTTCAAATTCTGAGCTTTCATTTTTTGCCTTTGTTGCTTCGTGCATCCCAGAATTGGGTAAGGCCGGGCCAAGCCTCACCAATCGTGCTCCTTCTTCTCGCCGGATACGCTCTTGGTAGCTGGTGGCATCTGGACCTTTTCGCCGGGATGCGATGAGGCCCAAACGCTGCTGTTCTCACCGTGGCTGAGGTTCCAACTGTCGAAGTAAACGGAGCTCAATAGCTGGGATTCCTCCATGGTTCCAGAATACGCGCTCATAGCCTGGGCCCATTTCAAGCTGCACGATGTCCTTGCATGGTTTGTTAATATGTGTGTACCGGGTTCCGATTCAAAACTCCTTGAGGCTAGCAGCAAACATTCAAAAGCAACAAATAACATTCAAATAACTACAAAGAAGCATTAACCCACATGTCTCACCTTGAAGCACTTCTGAGTATGTGCGACACATGAGGCTAAGCTAAGTGACATGGCTGTCCATGCCATCTCGGTACTCCAGATCCAAGAGAGCAAAGGGTTCCTTGGCGACTCGAAACATGAGCAGCCTTGATGTGGCCGACGTCACCAAGAGGGCCACTATGGCATGGCAAGCGAGCCACGGACCCAACCTACCCCAAATGACTGAACTGCTGTGGAGGAAGGGACAAAAAATGCCGAGATTCCAACAGTTTTTCTTGCTCCTTGGCACACAGTTGGGGCACATGAAGCAGGTCAAAGAACATAAGGATGAGCATGTATATATGGTGCATATATGGCTGGTTGGTTTTCCTAGCAATCCACACCACTTCCGGTTGGACACACAGAGATTCCCAGGCCACTCAAGATTTGAAATTTGGACAGCACTCAGATGCACTCAGTGCAAATTGCGATTGCTTGGGGATGGAGAACGATGAAGCGACCATAAGCGACCCATGACCCTTGATGTTTTGAATGCCTCCAGAAAATCTCCCAGCATCTCCCAACATCATGCTGACAAGCTACTGACTGAGAGGCTCCAAAAATCAAATACCTTGGAGGCCGTGAGGTCTTGCAGCGGGTCAGTGGCCGCTCTCTAGTCTCCAAAAATAGCACTCAAAATAGTCACATCTGAAATTTTGATAAATGTTGATAAATTTTGCTAGATTGTTGTTTTCTGACTGCCCTTCACCATCCTTCACTATCCTTCACCTTATTCAATTGCCGGATCAACTGCTCTTTTTTACATCAGCGCAGTTGGCCACCAAACGATCTAGCACTGCTAGCACATCCTTGGGAGTTTTGAGCAAATGTCCGCTGATGGCCTCCCGGCCCAGAGGCAAGGTGCGGCAAATGCTCCACAATGCGTGTCTTCAGAAGCACCACTTTGTCAGGCTGCACCCAGTACTTGGAGGTGTTCCTCATCGATTAATTCTAGGAGATCAGCTGCTTTGTGCAATGATGTGTGATGTAACATGGGCTTTGCTCGGAGAGTAATCTTCTCTTAGCTCTGAGCACTGACTCAAGACTCTATGAATTTGTGTTCCATGCGTTTTAAGTGTCTTCCGTGGGGTGAGGGAAAATCATGAAAATTCTATGGAAATCTCTTGTCATCTCTTGTCTCAGCCAAAATCAGCCAAGAGTCCGAATGAAGCTCTCTGGTGGCTTCCACGTAGCATCCTGCAAGACATGTGATACATGTGATGCATGATGTGAAGCATTCCAAGGTCTCGCCTGAAATAGATTGCCTTGAGAGGTGGCCTGGGTCAAGGCTCTCACTGAAACGGGATCTTTTTCCATCCGGCATCAAATACCTCCAAGTACTAACACCAAGTACTACAAAATACGATAATTAAACCTCGACACACCACTAAGCACTATTGCACATCATTCTACGATAATGATTCATAAATTGCATATGTGATCACGTGTGTATATATATAATATGTATGTTATATATTTAATTACATTTACATTTATATCAATTTATATCTGTATACACACCTTGCCAAGCATCACTTTGCTACAGTATAATAATATATATATATATATACATTTCACTTTATACTTTATACATTGGGCCTACAAATGTCCTTGGATTGCTCAGCAGGTGCTTGTGCAGAGCGCCAGCGTGCCCATGCCAGTCCAAGCAAGATTAAGATATCATCAAAGCGAATGTTGCCTCAAAAGAACATCCCACGCGACTGGACCTACTGGTCACCACAACATCTGACACACTTCCTGTTGCAAAAAGAGCAGAAGCCAATTGCGGAATTTCGTTGTCCGACCACTTCAACATCTTCAACATAAAATTTCCTGAAGACGCACTTTGCCGAATGACTGTTCATGGCACGGAACTGTGCAAATAGATGCCATCACCGCCCAGAATTGCAAGTTAGCCCTTTGGCATTGCATAACTTGTCATTGAATTCTTGCCATCGAGGGGGAAAAAGGCTACCACCCCAGGTGTGAGAGTGGAAGATGTGGAAGATGGGAATATTCCTGCCATCCACAAACCCACAGCTCTTCTGAGACCTCGGCAATTCGCCAAGTTGCAGAAAGGTTCGCAATGTAGGCCCGACACAAACAGTGGACTGCCAGAAATACCCAAGCACGCATCAAACTTCTCTGTGAGCATCTGAAAGCCCATGTAGTTCAGTCTCACGTACCTACCCATCACAGCAAGTTGGTTGAAGCCAAGGGCGACACAACCGTATCAGATCGTATCAGTGGCCGGGTGCAGAGTACTCCTGTGACCCCCTATGTGCCCAAACACCTGCCGTCGTGGGAACCTAGATTTGTTTGTGACAGCTCTTCGACATTGAGCCTGAAATTCAAGAAATTCTTCCCCTACTGAGCTCGAACCCCCTGAAACTCTGCTGTTAATCCACTGTCTTTGACTGGCCATGGCCAAGCGCCCATGTCCAGGCACAGTGATCCTCCAGGTGCCCTCTCGTGACCAAGTCACGTGTCTAGGTCGACAATCTCTTTACCCAGACTGCGGATTCGCTCAGCCATTGGTTGAACTTCCTGGTAGCTGGGTAGCTGATACTGCAAATCTGAAATATCTCAGAGGGGCTTCTTGATGAGGCTCTGAAATCTACGAGTATGAGATTTGAATCGGGGGCTTCAGATGGTTTCAGTATCTTCAGTTGAAGAGCACAATTCACCAGTCTATTGATATGTGTAAGTCATTGTAAGTCTCTGTCTGCCTGTGTTTCTCTCTATATACTTTCGGACAAAACTCCCAAACCCACCAAAGACTCCTCGGCAGAAAGTCGCTTGCACTGCTCGCAAAGCCGTCTCAAGCCCAAGAAAACGTCTTCATGTTTCACCTTGAGATGCCAGGTGCCAGAGTTGGCAAAGCGGAGAGTGCAAGCTGGTGCATCTGTTGAAGTTTACTAATTAATCCATCAGTGCCCATTTCCCACACCAGTGAGTTGGCGTGAGCTTCTGGGTTATGACATGTTATGACTAAATTGATCAAGAAACGTATGATAACTTATGACATGCCAATGAACAAATCTGCTCAGCAGTTTTGAGCATTGCATGCACGGGCTTCCCAACACAGGATGTGGAAAGGCCTTGACAGCCTTGGCGCAGCCAAGAGACGCAGGCGAACTGGTTCACTTTCTTCAGCTCAGCTCGGAGACTGTCTTGGAATTTGCCAATGGGCTGGTTGGCCATTTCCATGAAGTCTGCCGACCTGGTCACGGAATGTCACTCGGTTACGAGAGACAGAGTAAAGGAAAACACCAACATCCGACCATGAGCAGGGCTTGACGCATGACTTAACCAACAAGAACATCCATATTCACCGACAAAAAACAAGATGAAACCCAGGAACCCGAATGCTCACACGTATGTTAATGGTACAGATGTCAAAACACATGGTTATGCAGTGACGTACAATACCTTTCCGCAATAGTTTATTTGAACAGTCTTGTACATGTTTCCCTCGTTACCAGTCTGCAGTGTGGAGTGGAAAGTGTAGAGTGTGGAGCGTGGAGTGTGAAGTAAGGAGTGTGGAGTGTAAAGTGTGGAGTGGGGACTGTAGAGTGTGTAAAGTGTAGAATGTGGAGTGCAAGTCCCCGCGAGCCAGCCCCAGCCCTAGAGATTGAAACCCAACAGGCCCTGCTGTTGGGAATATGCAGTCACACAGAACACTTTTCTGAAACAGTTTATTTGAACAGTCTTGTACATTTTTCCCCTGCTACCATACCAATGCACCGTAGACTGTGGAATATGGAAGAACGTAGCCTGCTAAGTGTGGAGTGTGGAGTGTAGAGTCTGGAGTGTAAAGTATGGAGAGTAAAGTGTGGAGTGTCAAGTGTAAAGTGTGGAGTGTAGAGTGTGGAGTGTGGAGTGTAGAGTGTGGAGTGAGGAGTGTAAAGTGTGGAGTGAGGAGTGTAAAGTGCAAAGTGTGGAGTGTGGAGTATAAAGTGTAGAGTGTGGAGTATGGAGTGTAAAGTGTAGAGTGTGGAGTGTAGAGTGTGGAGTGTGGAGTGTAGAGTGTGGAGTGAGGAGTGTAAAGTGCAAAGTGAGGAGTGTAAAGTGTGGAGTGAGGAGTGTGGAATGTAAAGTGAGGAGTGTAAAGTGTAGAGTGTGGTGTGTAGTGTGGAGTGAGGAGTGTAAAGTGTGGAGTGTAGAGTGTGGAGTGCGGAGTGCGGAGTGTAAAGTGCAGAGTGTGGAGTGCAAAGTGTGGAGTGAGGAGTGTAAAGTGGAAATCGTGGAGTGTAAAGTGTAAAGTGTGGAGTGTAGAGTGTAGAGTGTAAAGTATAGAGTGTGGAGTGTAAAGTGTGGAGTGGGGAGTGTAGAGTGTAAAGTGTGGAGTGTAAAGTGTGGAGTGAGGAGTGTAAAGTGTGGAGTGTGGAGTGTAAAGTGTGGAGTGTTGAGTGGAAAGTGTGGAGTGTGAAGTGCGGAGTGTAAAGTGTGGAGTGAGGAGTGTAAAGTGTGGGGTGTGGAGTGAGGAGTGTAAAGTGTGGAGTGTAAAGTGTGGAGTGTGGAGTGAGGAGTGTAAAGTGTGGAGTGTGGAGTGTGGAGCGTAAAGTGTAGAGTGTGGAGTCTGGAGTGGAAAGTGTAGAGTGTGGTGTGTAGAGTGTGGAGTGTGGAGTGTAAAGTGAGGAGTGTAAAGTGTGGAGTGTGGAGTGAGGAAAGTGCCACGCTTGCCACGCAAAACGACATGACAACCTGCTTGGACACATTCGAATAGGAGAGGTTTTGCGGCTTCCCCCATTGACACGGCGAAACCGCAGGAAAACCAGAGACTCGAGACGAGACACGTGGGAGCACCAAAACGAGCATTTCCTGCGAGACGTCCTCCAATTTTGATATTTTCAACACATTAGCAAACAGCTTGGAATGTCACAAAGTGCCACGCCTGCCACGCAAAACGACATGACAACCTGCTTGGACACATTCGAATAGGAGAGGTTTTGCGGCTTCCCCCATTGACACGGCGAAACCACAGGAAAACCAGAGACTCGAGACGAGACACGTGGGAGCACCAAAACGAGCATTTCGTGCGAGACGTCCTCCAATTTTCACACTTTGAAACATGCCGAAGAGACATGTTTTGCAGCTTCCCCCATAGACACGGCGAAGCCACCATAAAACCTGTGTTTCCTGAAGCCTCCCAATGCCAACAAGTGAACCGTCCTGGAACCCTGAACAGCAACTGAGATCTCGACTCCAACCGGAAAAATAATGTTTCAACCCAAAAAACAAAACCAAGTTTCCCCAAAACTCCAAGCAGCCACCTCGCTGCCAGCTGACGCACCTTTGTGCCACTTGACATCTAAAGGGCTTCGGTCCGGCCCAGATGCAGGTTCTTCAAGATTCCTAGACTACACCCGGAAAGTAGTAGTCTGGACTACACCCGTTGGGTAGTAGTCAAAGCAAAAGTGGAAGTATTTCTATTTGAGAATTGGATAAATAGGGATGCATGAAATTCTCACACGCACTCCCCCTATGTGATCAGTTCCACTGACCACATATTCAGCTCAAGCCCTCTAAACAAGTCTATCATCTGCAGTGCAGCAAATCGCACATGGATTGAAGGCCCGAAGTGGGCCATTGGATCCCGCATCACGACAATGCTCATAATCAACATGAAGTGCATATCCATGTGAGATCGCATACAGCCTATGTTGGGGAACGTCTGACTGTGGGCCACATCTGTGACATCGTGGCGTCAGACAAACTTCCTTGGCATGTCTAAGACCATGGCATTCACGGTCACAGTGGTATCTTCCACCAAATGGCGTGGTGAAAAGGGGTTTTGGTCCTCTTTGGGAACGAGATCCTCTTGATCTCAACATGTTCGCCGGCTCACGCGCCGCTGCGCCGCCATCTGCCGCGCCAGCTGCAGCGCTAGGAATGCCAGCTGCTCCATAACTTCTTGGAGCGCCATCAGCACTGCCAGCAGCTGTGGATGCAGCGCCCGCAGCACGGCCAGCAGCCGTATTTCCATCGCCAGCAGCGTCAGCAGCACAGCCAGCAGCCGTAGATGAAGTGCCCGCAGCGCCAGCAGCACGGCCAGCAGCACTAGATGAAGCGCCCGCAGCCCCAGCAGCACGGCCAGCAGCCGTAGATGAAGCGCCTGCAGCGCCAGCAGCACGGCCAGCAGCCGTAGATGAAGCGCCTGCAGCGCCAGCAGCCGCAGATCCAGCGCCCGCAGCGCCAGCAGCACGGCCAGCAGCCGTAGGTGAAGCGCCCGCAGCGCCAGCAGCCGTAGAAGGCAACCAATTTGGCCTGACAGTTGGATCACGTTGCTGCTGATTTCTTTCATCCTCATCTCTTTCTGGCGCATGCCACAAAAACGCAGGCACGTTCAGCAATGAACCTTTGTATTTGACAACAGTGAGCTTGTCAACTCTGTGCCACATGAAAATGCCCATGACGCATGCTCCAATGATGAAACCGGCAAAAAGGATCACAGCCACAAACATGATGAAATAAAACTGACCGTCTCTCTGCTGCAAAACTGGATTGAGGTCTTGAATGACCAAAGCATTTGAAATATCTTTTTTCTCCTCATTCGATGCTCCTGCAAGCGCCAATTTTGTCACCAAAATGATGATCTTCAACGCTTTCTCACGTGCTTCTTGTGTCATCCCAAAAGTGGTTTCATTCTGTTCTCCGTCTTCTATCTTTTCCAAAACTTTCCAACCTTCCAAAAACATGCCCATGGTTTCTTTGTGCTGGTTGAACTTCTGCACCGATAAAACTTTGGTGCCCAGGTCCGCTGGCATCTCAGCTCCAGGCAAATGCCGGAGCATCCATTCCCCAGACAAAACTCTTGAGCGCAAAATGAAGGCCCTTTTCCGCAAATGGCGTGTCCGCCAAGATCCAGTATCTCCGGCAATGATGGCTAATGCCGCTGAGCTGTCTGTGTAGGAAAATGACCTAGCACAAACATCCAATGCCTCCTCCAAAACGACCTTGACAGCATCTCCCGCCAATGCTCCTTCAAGCACCTCCACAAGTTCGGCCTCGGCCGTCGATGCAGCTTGAATGGGCTGCTTGCCAGCCTTCCAGAGCAACAGCGACGATCCCCAAAGGATCAAATGGCATCCAAATGAGATATCGCTATATGATGCATCCGTGTACACATTGAGCTGTTGTTCTGAAAAATCAAACCTTGGTCCATGGTGGCTGCCAAATAGTACCACACTGATTTCACCAACTGCACAACCTGCATAGGTGACTTTGTGATCAATGACGCCAGCTTGGAGACAGTGAAAGCCAAATCAGGCCTGGACCTGGCAGTGATCCAAACCAATTCACCAATGACTCGCTGGGCTTCTTTGACTGCCATTGGAGTCTTCTCCTCACCTTCAATGACCTCGGGCTCCTTCACCAAAGGAATCTTTCTAGTCGGCCACGTAGTGGGATCTGCTCCAAGATTTCTTTTCAGCAAGTCCTTGATGTAGTTTGTCTGCGTCATCAACCAGGCTCCATCTTCTCTTCTCCATAGCTCCGCGCCCAAAAATCTCACCTCCTTCTGCATGTTGATGGTCTCTGGCTCCGATGTCTCCCATTTCGCCTGCACCCCTTGAATGACTGCAGCGATGGATGAGGGAAAACCAAGGACCAGAAGATCATCCACATAGACCAAAAGTAGTCCCACAAACTCTTCCTCATTCGTCTGCAAGTTGGGACCTGGTTGCTTCAGCATCATTCTCCACATGTTTGGCTCCGTGATCATTTGCTGCAAGGTCAAAATGCAACCCTCGCATGGTAACTCCATCTTTGCAATCTCCTGATCACGGTAGTCTGACCACAATTTGGGTGACTCCTTGTAGCCGTAGAGGGCCATGATGACCTCGTAGAATTCGTCTGGCTTGGCCAATCCAGCCAAAATGAGAAGAGCAGGAGGGCGGATGATGGGTCTTCTAGGCTCCATCTTCTCCCCATTCTCATCCTTTGACCCGGACAAAACCATTGGAGCATTTAAAAATGCTGTCCTCACATCCATGACGCTCCCTTCAAAACCAAATTGTGATGCCACCGTCAATGCAGCTCGAAGTGCCACTGCTGATGCTCCGCCTGCAAAGAGATCTTGCCCTTCTTCTCTTTCTGAGAAGTTCCCACAAGCCACCAATCGTGTCTTTTTCTTGCCACCCTTGTTGGTCTGATCTGGCTTGACTGTGAAGACCAGCTTGCTGGGGATAAGTTCTGCTCGATCTTCGTCAAGCAGCTTCT